ACTCTGGGCGCTGGCCTTGCCGTGGGCAAGGACTACTTCTGCAGCACAGTTTCAGGTTTTCACCTCGTTTCCAATTCATATTTGGTCTAAGTATAACTGGAAGACAGCTGAACTTGCTCGGGGCCAATCTCCACAGTCCTGACATCAAACAAACACAAAACAGCTCCCACGGCGGAGCCGAAGCTGGAGGAGTACACTGCAGCCGCGGGTGCCGTGGGCAGCGGAGGAGCCCACGCTCCGTCACCCCGCAGGAGCGATCGCTCGGCCTCCCTCGTTAACTGGCTCGGTCCCCACGGGTGTCCTCCTCAGAGCAGCTGCTACATCGCTCTGCCTCCACTCAACCACCCTTTTCCTTGAAGCACCGACTGCTCAGCCTCTCCAGACCCTCTCTCCACAACCCCACTGGGCAAGACAGAGAAGCAGGCTAAACTGCAATCGATGGAATGAAACCCAGGCACAGGCCTCAAGTATTAAATGAGGTAACAGCTGGCCACCTTCAAGGCCGAGAAAGAGCAGGCTGTGGTCAAGTAAGAATATGATGAGGTCCCGTTCAACAGGTTCTGCGAGGTGTCTGTAAATATCATTTCAAAACACGGAGGATACACACACGTGAATGCTGTCTGGATTTCATGGCCCACCCGTGGCACAGAGTGGGAACTCAGTCTGCAAACTAGAGCATTCGGGTTGGCCTGCGGGGTGGGCATCTGTCTTGGCTGGGGTTCCTTACATAGGGGGCTCTGAGGATCTCCTCAGGGGTCATTTGTTTTTTGTTTTAAAAAACTTTTTTTTTCTTTATTGATTTTAGAGAGAGAGGAAGGGGGAGAGGGAGAGAGAGATAGAAACATTGATGAGAGAGAACATCAACTGGCTGCCTCCTGCATGCTCCCACTGGGGATCAGGCCCACAACCTGGGCGCGTGCCCTGACTGGGAATCGAACCGGCGACCTCTTGGTGCATGGGTCGATGCCCAACCACTGACCCACAGCAGCCAGGCCATTTGTTGATCTTAAGGGAATCTTCCTGCCTCTGCAGGAGACCACAAATGAGACCCTTGGTGACCAAGTGCCCCCTTTATTGCATCAGCTGTGAGGGTGAGTGAGGCCACAGTTGTCGATATACCTGCTGAGAAGGGGCTCTCACCAGAGGGGATGGGGACAGGCAGGGTCCTAACCCCTCTTGGGGCTGATGGTCGAAGCACAGACTGGATAAGCCACAGTTGCCATCAAGGAGGAGAACCAGCAGTGCCGATGGAAGGACACATTCCACCTGGTGTCCTGGCTGGTGGGCAGAACCAGGGGCGGCCTGGGGCAAGAAGGTGGTCGTGAGAACACACCAGCCACTCTCAGAGCTATTCTGGAAAGCTCCAAAGAAGAGCGTCTGTTTCTGTTTTAGTGATTGGAGGTGGACCCCATGGCAGTGGGCAATACCAAGGGACTTGAAAATGTGGGCACCAGTGAAGAGGGGGCTAAGAAGGGTACAGAGCCCGGCCAGGAGACACCGCAGACAGTGGCTCAGATGAGCGAGAACAGTGTGGCATTGGCAGAGGCGTGGGACTTCTCTGTCGTGGTCACCTTTGATGAAGTGCTGAGCTGGCCCACATTCTGTCCCAGGCCTTCTTCCATCAGCAGTGGTCCCTTGACCAGCCCACTGCCCTGCTCTTGACTCCCATGCTGTTCAGAAAGTCACCATCAGAGTTGGGCAGCAGCCGTGCCAGGCCCAGCAGGATGGCAATACCTAGCTCCACAGTGCGTAATGTGTCCAAAAAGGAAGTGAGCGTAGCCTGGCACGGCTGCCTTTCCATGGGGCCATGTTGGCTCCTAAAGACGGTCACTTACCTTTCCAAATGCTTGCATGCCTACCGCCAGGATCGATACCCTGGCCTCGGGTCTGCCGTGTTGAGCGTCATCCCAGCCAGCTCCCACTGCCGGCCTGCAGCTATCCGATCTGTCCACATCTGTGCACACACGCTCCCAGATTACACAGCGCTGGCCTCTGCACAGGTTTTGTTCCAGTTCTCTGAGCTGTAATGCTTGGCTGGGCCTGGGAGCAGCTGGCCACTCTGGAGGCAGAGACAGAACAGACTGTGGTCAGAGGAAAGGGCCTGGGCAGCAGGTCCCAGAGAAAACGTTTGGTCTGGAACCCTGACACCGTCACAGAGCTGGGAGGCCCAAGAAACACCTGCTGGCTCCTGCTTCTTTCTCCTGCGGCAGTCAGCCGAGGTCAGCATCTCTAAATTGCTAGTTATTCTCTTCTTCAATTAAGGGCGATTCAACCGACGCAGGAAGTTAACTCCCACCGGTTAATCTAATGGCCTTGAGTCCTGAAGTATTTGCTCTGTCTGGAGGCCTGGCCAGACTTCCTCGGCAGCTGGTAACGGCCAGCACGTTCAGGAGCTGCCTGGGGAGGCCAGGGCCCCACGTTCCTGGTCAGACTCTCCATCCACAAAAGGGGACTGCATTTCAAACGGGGTTGGGGCTGTGGTGGTTTAGACAGAGGAGCAGTGGATCAAACCTGGAAGTCTGTTGTCATGTGGCAAGTCCCCTCCATCTCTGGTCCATTGTCTTCCCATCTGAGAAATGAGGGTGTCTGGCTAGGTGATTTCTACAATTCCCATCAACTCTGTACCTCCCTTTAACTGTTCCACCTGCCCTCTCCCAAGGGTTTGAGGTGACTAGACTGAGTGGTGGGAGGGGTCTCAGTGCCCACCTCAGGACACACCTCCCCTGAGCAGGATGTGTTTGCCTGTGCGTGTACGTGTGAATGCATGCATGTGCACGCGCGTGCACGCACATACACACGCAGAGGTGCCAGGAAATAGCAGGGCCCCTGCCAGATTGTAGTCACTATTGCTGCTGTGAGCCAAGGGCTTGGGAGGTGCTCAGACCCAGGTGTGTCCCCTGTGAAGCAGGTATATTGGTCCTTTGTGACCCCTCACACCCACAGACCAAGTGGCCAAACCTGAGCATTATCCAGGCAATCAGGCCTGACTGTGCCCCACCTGCAGGATAGGGGAGGGCAGGACAGAGCACAGGCCTGAAATCTCCCCCTGCATGGCCAGGAGCACCCCACTTTCTGAGCCTCTATTTCCTTCCATGTTAATTGGGGGTGATGTAACAGCCCTCAGAGAGCACCTGAGGGTTAAATGACATGATGTGGGGTATAGCCCTGAGCACCCCGCCTGTCCAATAAATATTCATTGCTATTCCCATCCCCACCTCACCCCAGTGCTGGGATCCATTCACGCTCTCTCAGCTGGTGACCAGTGGCACACACGGGAATAGCTCTGGCTTCACGACCGACCTTGGAGCTTCTGAAATTCTGTCTGCTGGAGTCAGCACTGCCGTCTGGCTCTGAGATCCAGAGTTCTTGGGACTGAAGGGTTTGCTGAGGTGGGACCACCAGTGCTACAACCAGGACAGTCTCTGCCATATCCAGATGGCCGGAGAAGCCACACTAGGGCTATTGGACAGGATCCTGGCCCTGGGGAGCTTTGGATTTGTTGGGTGAGGCATCAGAAGAACTCATGGATGGGTCATGAAGACACAGAATTCATCTGAAATGAAGGACAACATTCTCAGTCAGCACCATCCAAAGATGGAAGAACTCTTGCTGAGAGACCGAGCGCTCTGTCCTTGGATGTAATCAGCCAGGAGCTGAAGGGCCACTGATGGGGATTCAGTGGGTGGAGTCAGAGCCCTAGAGGGGTTCTGGACTCAAATGCCCAGTGGGTCTCCTTTCTGCTCCATATGTGCCCAGTTTCCATAGAGGGGCTAATGGAAGCCTGAAATCAGGACCATGGCTAGCCCAAGGATGGGATTATCTGATAGGCCATTTCCCTGGAAGGCTGGAGGTGGGGCAGGGTGTGTGTGTGTGTGTGTGTGTGTGTGTGTGTGTGTGTGGCTGGCCGTGTGTAGATTGTAACTGGGCTTTAATCCGTACCAATTCCTCAGAAGGAAGCAGAGGGCATCTCAGGGGAGAAAGAAAGTCATTTGAGAAGTAGCTTCCCTCAACCCCTTTCCAGCAGCGGGGAGCCAGGCATCTGGCCTGGGGATGTTGGGGGCTGCCAAAGGCTGGTTAGACATCTGTTGGGCCCACAGACCTGGTCTGGCCCTGACTAGGGAGAGGCCTGCTCTCCCCTGGGGCCTCCGCCTGGCTACCACCCAGGTCCCACCAGAACAGCTGGCCATCTCCTGCCCCCTGTAGGGCCTGGGCTGTGGATCCCTGGCTGCGGAAGCCAACTACACAAATCTCCCCAACCTCCGCCAGGCCTGTTCCCCAAAACGTCTGCATCCCAGGTGTGGGAGGTGGAGGGGGTACTGCTCACAGCTAGGCTACTGGCCTCCCCAAACCCCCCTCCAACCTGGAGTCCCAGGGGGATTTGCTTGTATTGTACAAGTCTCTCTGGAGTTAAGGGCATAGGAATCTCTTCCCGTCTGAGGCCAGGTCCGACCCTAGAAACGATCCAGAGTTCTGGGGTGGGGGTTGTTGAAGGGGTCCATCTCTCGTCTCTGATTTCTAGAGCCACCTCCTTCTTGGCTTCTCGGGAGCCTCTCTGTGTCCCTTTTTCCTTCCCCTCTCCTCATCTCTGCTGGCTAAGTCCCTCTCCCGTGCCAGGCACGGGGTTTCTAGTCTCTGAATTTTATCCGAATTTCTCTCCCCGCCGGTGGTTCAGCTCCAGGGTGGTGTCCCCAGCGCCGTGTCTCAGTGTCTTAGCGCCTCTGACTCCCAGTCCCCGTCCTCATCTCTGCCTGGACTGCAGTATCTCGTGTCTCTCACGCGGTCTCTGCTCGTCTCTGCGTCCGCCAGGGGCTCGCGCGCGACTGCGGTGGCCGCGCGGGCCGGAGAGGAGCGGGCTGGAGCGGCGGCCGCGGCCCGGGCGGGTGCGGGCCCGCGGGGGCGGGTGGGGCGCTTCCTCCGTCAGTCCCTCCCAGGCGGCGGGGGGGCCGGCGCGGCCGCCGCTCGGCGCCTTTAAGGGAGCGGGAGGGAGCGGTGAGGCGGCGGCGGCTGCGGTGGCGGCGGCCGAGCGCGCGGGGTGGGGGCGCGGGGCGCGGCGCTCGGAGTCCACTCGGGCCGGAGGCGGCTCGGAGCCGGGGCCGAGCCCGGGAGCTGCGAGGAGCCGGGCAGCTCAGCCGGAGCCCGCCGCCCGGGACATGGCCAAGGCGGGCCGTGCAGGTGAGGGCGGGCGGGCGCCGGGAGGGCAGGGCCGAGGCTCGGGGGAGGGACCCGCGCCGCTCGAGGAGGGGCTGCCGGCCCAGGTGAGCCCCTCGCGCAGGTGGGCGGACGCTCCGGAGGGCGGCAGGGGCGGCGGCGAGGCGGACCCCGCGCGTGCAGAGGGAGCACCGCGCCCCGTGTCCTTCCTGTGCCCACAGTCACCTCGTGGGACACCGCGTCCCGCTCGCCTTGGCCCCGCTGGAAGGGCCGGGGCTGCGGCGCCCCTGTCCAGGCAGGCTGTGGGAGCTCTCGCCACCCTTCGGAGGACCTGGACAGACCCGGGCAGGGGACCGAAGGGGCTGTCCCGCGGCCGCCGCTCCGTCCCACGCTCCCCAACCAGGACGCGCCCCCACGTCCTGCCGCTCGATCTGTCCAGGACGCGACAATCCCCCAGCCCCCAGCTTAGTCAGGAGACCGAGATTTCTTGGCAAGGAGGTGGTGCTCCACACCGCATCCGACAGTGACCGTCCTGCCCCCTCCCCCTCCCCGACCCGGGAGGCAGAGCCGCAGGTTCGGAGGTCTGTGGTGAGACCTCTTCTGGGGTCCCGTGGCGCTGCCCTCCATCAGACTCAGGCGGTGTAGCCTGCGGTGTGAGGAAGTGGGCGTTAGTCGTTCGTTCATTCATTCAGCCAGACGTTCATTCATCAACATCTGCTCTGTGCCAGGTTCTGAGCTGGGCACTGGGGATCTGGATGTGGGCCAGACTCTGCCCCTACCTGCACACTATGCCCCCCCCCTTGGGAGGCTGGGGTTCAGGAAAGCCCAAAGGGCTGGCCATACAGTGGGGGCAGCAAGCTTGGTCTCAGCAGGGCTGGCTTGTGAGGCTGGCATGTGTAAATAAATTTGCCATGAACTCATACCCAACTTGTGACCTTGGCAGGTGCCATGCCGTCTCCTGGGACTAGGCATTGGTCTGGCACAGACCCATAAGTGGTGAGAGTGATGGAGTGAGTGTGAATTCCCATGTGCACGCACTCGGCGCTAATACCACTGGGCTGTGTGTAATCCACTGCCATTACAAATGATGCGCTGAACCCTAGGTTGGGTTCAGACCCCACCCCCACCCCCTGTATACCACCTGGGTATATGATGTAGGTGCCTGAGACTATATTCCCATTCTGTCCCTGGGGAGTCCTGTTGGGGTGGGGCTGGTTGTGTGAGACACAGCAAGTATGAGACACATTTAAACACCCCCTTTCTTACTTCTCTCCCTTCTCCCCTCTTGGGGGAGGGGGGCACGGTGAGATGGCACCATTGAGACTAGAAAAGGCTACCTCTCTCCTTCCCCCACTGAGCTGACTCCTTACCCATCTCCACTCCTCCCAACAGGCACAATTCAGGGTGTGTGTCCGCCTACTGCCTCTGCTCTATGTGGGCATGTGTGTGCGTGTACATGCCCACCCCAGGCACAGATCACCTGCCAGGGCACCGCCATCGCAATAGCAGTTAATACATACTGCTTGTACTATGCACCAGGCAATGTGCACAATGATCCTGGGAAACAGAAAATGTTACTCCCCCACTCTTGAAAACATCTGGGCACAGATACTCAGAGAAATAGCTCTCTCAAGGTGGCCCAGAGGGTCTGAGCAGAGCCTGGACTAAGCACCAGCTCTGTTGGACTCTCGGAGCTCTGAGTGGTGGGATTTCTTCATCACTGCTTTTATAGGTCACCCTTCTCAAGGAATGGAGGTGCTGTCTCAGTCCCTGTCCTTGGCCTGTGGGTCCTTTGATCCCGAGGCTGAGAGACCGTGGGAATTTGTTCCAGTAACAGGTGAAGAACTGCCCTGCTTTGAGCATCAAACAGTTTGTCTTTCGTGCTGCAATTTCACGCTTGGCCCTTTCCCTCTGGGCAGCACAAACTCCCCTCTTCCGTGGATCGAACCGTCCAGGTCTTCTCTCCCACGCTCGGCTGCCGCCCCCAAGGAGCCTTTGGGTACTGACCCCAGCAAAATCGGATTACTCCTTTCCCAGCTCTTCCAGGCTACTTTGCATTTTGCAAATGTCCCTCTTCTTTAAGCTCCTAAAACTACTGAATTAAAAACAGCATGCAGTCGTGTGATGGGAGACACATTTCCCCCACTGGCAAAGTCTCTGGAGATAGATCGGTGAGCCTTAGAGTGGAAGGAGTCCTTGCAGACAGGAGTCCAAGCCCCTCACTTTTCAGCTAGAGAAACTGAGGCCCAAGGAAGAGATGGAACACAGAGAGGGATGGGTTATTCAGGACCTCCCACCTACAGGATGGTGGTCGGAAATGATCAGGTCACTATGGGGACAGATGAAATTAGAACCAAGGGAGGCTGAAGGCCAGGGGGGGAGGCGGTGGGAACCTGGCCTGTGAGTGAGGGGTCTGCTTCATGATTTGTGAGGTGTTCCCTCTAAAAACTGGCCAAGGACCATCAACTCCTGGGAGTGGCTCCAGAGCCACCGTAGTGCGTGGCTCCAGGGTCATCACACTGTCGTTGGTGACTGTGCAGCCTGAGCAGCCAGCCGTGGCCACGTCAACTGTGCCAGGCACGAGCTGCAGGGAGGCGGTGAGGCTCCTTCACATTGCCTGGGGGTCCCGGGTACAAGAGAACATGTCATCGGGTCCCAGGCTGGATGGGATCAGTCCTAGAGGGTGGATGCCAGATGGGCTATTACCAGTTCCCCATCTGTGGGGAGATGGCAGTCACAGAACAGGATCGTTCTGGTGCCTGTGCTCAGTCTTGAGAGGAGAGGTGAGGGAAGGGGAGGCCTTGCTGTTGCCCTGAGGCAGCTCTCCGGCTGGTGGCCAAAGGGGGAGAGGGCCTGCCTCGGGGATGGGGCGAAAGGTGGCCAAAGGGGGAGAGGGCCTGCCTCGGGGATGGGGCGAAAGGCAGCTGTAGGGGCCGAGGGTGGGGAAGGACCTAGGAGCTTCCCACCGGCAGGCCGCAGTGCAGCACGGACGCAGAGGAGGCCAGTGGTGGCTTGAAATGGAGAAAGCTGGGTTTCTTGGGCCTCAAGGACTAGCAGACTTTGGGCAGGAAGGTAGCGTGGGGAAGGCTTCCTTCCAGGTGTGGCTTGAACAGGGGCTAGGAGGTTGCAGTGGAACAGATGGGAGTGTGGTGGGAATGGGGTGCGTGGGCAGGAGATGCCCACCGGTGCAGAACTCTGTCTGTCTGGGATGGCGTGCTCCTAGAGGGGCGCAGAGGGCTGAAAGGAACTCTGGGGAGCATCAAAGATGGGAGCAACAACAGTGAGATTTGGGTGTTTCATCAGGTCCCTGGGAAGGTGGAGAGAGGCTTTGCCAGGCTGGGAAAGGTTTGTTCTGGTTCCGGCCAGCCCCTCCCTTCCTCTCTATGCCCCTGGGGCCCTCCCTCTACACCTCAGCTGGCTGGCAGGGGTGTCTGCCAGCCCTGGGGCAGGGTAAGTGGGAGGCCCCTGGCCAAGCAGGAATAGAGGGAGCAGTCAAGAGGGTCTTGGAACCTCTGGAGAAGCTGGGCTGGGACAACAGGGCTGGGCCTTCCGGGCCAGGCCGGAGAAACCAGTTTATTTGCTCCCAGGTGTTGGCCTCTGTTCTGAGGGGAGGAGCCAGTGGGCTTGAGTATATCAAACCCAGTCGTTCGAGTCAATGAAATACTGATCCTACAGGAGTACAGCTGGAGGACCCTTCTAGATACCCATTTTCACAGCTCTTGTCACCAGGGGGACACTGAAGCCACAGAAGGTTGTGGCAGAGCTGGGCCCAAACCTGCCTTTTTGAAGTCGCAGTTTGGACCTTGCTCAGCTGGGTCAGCTGCCCTCTCCCCATCCCAAAGCCAGACCTCCTCCTGGGACCCTGCTTCTTGGCCTCCGGAGTGGGGGACAGTGGCCCGTGTCTCAGGGGAGCGGATGTTTGGAAGCGAGGGAAAGGGACCAGCACGGGGGTTCTCAGGACGCTGGGTCGGTGCCAGGGGATTTGAGGCAAGACTCTTTTTTTTTTTTTTTAATCCTCACCCGAGGACATTTTTCCATTTTTTGTTCAGATAGAGCGGGAGGGAGAGAGAGGAAGAGAGAGAGAGAGAAACATCGATGTGAAAGGGACACATCGAGTGGCCGCCACCCGCACGACCAACCAGGGCCGGGGACAAACTGCAACCGAGGTACATGCCCTTAGCGGGAACCGAACCCGGGTCTCTCTGTACCGCAGGCCGATGCTCTAACCGCTGAGCCAAACCGCCCAGGGCGAGGCAAGACTCTTGAGAAACCGCAGACGCAGGGTGTCAGGATTGCTCTGGGATGCAGCATGGGCAGGGCCTCATGTTCTGCAATTGCAAATTCACCTTCTCAGGTGCCCAGGAGGAAGGCTGGGGCCGAATCGGATGCCCATGTCCCAACTCAACGCCTTCCTAAAACTCTGCCTCCCGGAAACCTTTGTGGACATCCCTGCAGCCTGGGCAGTGCTGGAGCTGGGGCAGGCCTCTTGCTCCTCGCTGAGCTGCCTGTCACCACAGACCTGGCTGGCTGTGACAGGCCCCAGCCTGAGACCCTTGCTGCGTCTCAGCCAAGGCTGAACGTGGTTGCGTGAGTCAAAGACAGCGCAGCTCAAACAGAAGCCCCGCCTGAAGCATGTGACCCTGAGCCCAGAGAGTGCCCTGTCCCAGCTGCAGGCCCTGTGACTTGGCTGGTGGAGGAAGCAGAGAGTGAAGACATAGCTAGACACCCCCTTGTTGGTGCTGTGTCTGTGTTGCACTGGCCAGCAGGTGTGGTATTTTCTGGTATACCTTAGTATATTGTGATAGTTCATGGCTGAAAGAGGCTTGCAAGTCTTCCAGTCCTACCTGTTTGTCGTGCAGGGTGGGAGACCAAGGCCAGAAAGGTAAAGGCTTCTTCTCCGAAGTCTGGTGTCTTCAAGGACAGAGGGTGTGAACTCCCAGAGACCAGTGAGGCTGTGAGGACGAGGGACTCCTGGTAGGACCCGGCTGCCTCCCAGGAATTCTCTGGGATTCCAGGCTTGTGAG